TATTAAGATATATATATATATATATATATATATATATATTATCTATTTATCCTTCATCTTTACCTCTCTCTCTTATTTTCTTTTCTCTTTTTATTTCACCTACTAGCTTCTTTATCCTATTTTTCAACATTGACATGAAAAATATAAATAAATTTTTAATTATTAAATATTAGTTTTTCAAAAAATATTAAATAGTGTCTAATATTGTTTTAAAATTATTAAATATTGGCTAATATTTATTTTAAAGAACTTAGTTTTAAAATTTTAATATTTATTTATTTAAAATAATATTTTTATGACATAAATTAAATTACCTTATCTAAATTAAGAATTTAAATTTTTCTTGAATTTACAAAATATTCCATCCAAACAAAACCTAAAGGCAAAAAAATGCACTCTATCTCCAAATTTGTTATGCCAGACATTTTATTTGTTTATGTAATTTTGCATCTCAAAAATATTTATTTATCAATATATTTAAATAAATTCTTTCTATTCAAATTGCTTTTTGAGCCACACTTTTATTAGCGGAGTTATTTTGAATGTACAACTTCATTTCTCGTTTAACATTTCAATGCTTTAATAAATCTGATTGTAGCGCAATTCCATGGTGCTAACAGTGCCCAAAAACCATATGGCATGACCAAAGGCAAACGTGAATCATATATGTATACTATCATGCCATGTGAAGTGGCTATTATTGAGCTAGCCTATCTTCATTTTACATAAATATTATATTATTTGCGGCCTGAGTTTAAGAGGAGGTTAACAAAGTCTTCACCTTATGTGTCTTTTAAAAAAGTTATATTAATATTTATATAATTTTTTCAAGATTTCATAATTTAAAAGTCACTTTTTACGTTTTTAAAAATTTACTTAAAAAAATTTATCTTTAAAAGATATACAAATATAATTATTTTTTTGAGATCAATCTTTAAAATATTTTAATTTTTTTATAAAAAAAATATTTCTATTAATTTTAAAAAAATTACTTTTAAATTTATTTTAAGTCTAATAATATATTAGACGGGTCCTGAACATTTGTAATTGTATGCTAATCTAGATATGTTCGTTCAACAGTGATTCCAAAAATATATCAATGGTTATCACATCTACCACTCATTTGATCCCTTAATGATCTCTCTTCCTTGTAAGTTGTAACCCATGCCCATGATGAATTGCTCCCCATACTATCATTATTGCTAATTTTTCTGCTAGCTACCACCCTTATCTTGCCAACAACAATATGCTACAGTTCATGTCCTAAGATTCCCAAATAAAATGCACTTGGTAATTGTCAATCAACTTAATTTATCTGGCTAGCACATAGATTCAACCAAAAAAGACTACCCATTTTTTTTGCGAGGTGATATTTTTTTCCATTGATTTGAAAGTTGACATTCTCGTGAGTCATGAAGCTCTATAGTTATCGGTACTTACCTGTCTTGGAATGAAAACCCCCCATGAGTTGCAGCGAATTCGGTAGCATTCATGATCCATCATGAAGAAATGGTAAAAAAATTAATGCATTATGAAGGCTACATGAAGGTATTTTAACACAATTACAAGTGGAAGCAGAAAAAGAAAGCATTTTGTGTTGCAAGTCGGTCAAAACAATTATCCAATTCGGATAAGAAACAAAAAACAAGCAAATTAATAAGCTTGTGTTATGATTTCTATAAAGTACTACAGTACAGATTACATTTGATGAAAACCTAAAATTGAGACTTTATTTACTCTTCTTCTATTTCATGAATAATTTCTAACTCAAAATTATGGTGTCTTGATGCAACAACAGTATTTGTTCTAGAAGAAACGGTGTTGTCGAAAGGAGTAGGGGGTGCTATTAACTTTTCTCCATCTCCTTCAAGCATTTGCACCACAGTTTTCATGGATGGACGGTCCACTGGATTCCACTGAATGCACCAAAGTCCTACAATGGCAAGTTTCTTGGCAATTTTAACATCTCCCTCATCCTGAATTGTAACTTGAACATCTCTACCTTCTACCAAATTATGGATCCATTCCGGGTACAGAACTTGGAAACTTTCCTCTGGTGACATATTTGTATTCTTTCTTCCTCCAACCATCTCCAACAACAACATCCCATAACTGTAAATGTCAGACTTGTAAGACACATTACCAAAGTTTCTGGAGAAAACTTCGGGGGCAATGTAGCCCAAGGTTCCCCTGGCTGCGGTCATAGACACTGTACTTTGATTTTTGGGACACAACTTGGCAAGTCCAAAATCAGTGAGCTTTGGAATGAAGTGGTCATCAATTAAAACATTATGAGGATTGATGTCAAAGTGAAGTATTCTATGATCACAACCAAGATGGAGATACTCAATTCCTCTTGCAACACCCAAGGCAATTTGTTGCAACTTCTCCCAACCAAGAAAAACATCCTGTTTCTCAGGTGGAGCCAAGAATCTCTGCAGTGACCCATTTGGGAAGAAATCATAGACGAGAGCACGGTGGAACCCATCCGCACAGAATCCAAGCAAGCGAACAACGTTAACGTGATGAATTTTTCCCATGGTTCCCACTTCGTTTATGAAATCCTTCCCATCTCCCATTGTGTCGTTGAGTATCTTCACAGCAACGAGAATCTCTCGGGAGAGCATTCCTTTGAACACTGCTCCATGAGCTCCTTCTCCTAAACTTTCACTAAATCTATTTGTGATTCTCTTAATGTCGGAATAAGTGAATCTTGTAGGCTTCATTGCCCTATAATCCTCCAAGAATTTCTCTATCCTAGCCCGGTCTTCTCCTTTCGTTTTATAATAGTCATAAACATAAAACAGCGCTTTCACCAGTAGCACCAAAAGAATCAAACCAACTACTCCCCCTGTTGGTGTTTCTTCTGTTAGACAAATCATAAATAATAAAAAACAGAAAAAAGCAAAGGGAAATTACATACCTGCAGCAATAAGTACAATAGTTGATCTTGGAAGCCTGTTAGTTGGGCAAATGAAACATTCAGTTTCTCCTTGGGTACCATTCTTGTATTTACAATTTTGCCCTCGTGCTTCACAGGAACTGCAATCAGGGTTGGACCATTCCATAACAACGGTGTTCCTCGAGTCATCCAGCACTTGCCACTGGACCGAGAAAACATCACTCACCTTGGTGCAAGATATTATGGCAGGATCAATAAAGTCGTCACTAAAATAAAGTTGCAAAATTGGGCACGTCATGGAGTTACAGCGGAAGAAGGAAACGTTGCTTGCACCATATGATTGGAAATTAAAAGGCGCAATAGAGGAATTGCCGAGTTTTATGAGTTGTCTGGGAAGGCAATTTTGGGGGTCGTAGATTTGGACTTGTTGTGACTTGTAATCGATGCTTTTGACAGATAATTTGATTGGAACAGAAGGAAGCTCCAGCACAGTCTCACCTGCGTCTGTGCACAGCAGATCAAACCCAGAAGGATAGTCGGTGCGGTGCTTCATGTTCAAGTTGCTGTTTCTGAGGTGAAATGGGAATTGAATGTGAACGCGTCCACACTTATCCGTGCACCCGCTCTTGCCTGTGGCAGGCTTCCATAGCAGAAACAAGAGCGTGAATAGAAGGGAAAAAGTTTGAAAATTTAGCATTGTGTGGTGGTAGAAACGCTTTGCAGCCTCAAGCATGTCTTTAAAGTGTGCGCGAGTTGTACACGGATGATGACAGCCGCCGAGTGTAGATGCAACTGCGATTCCGCGTTACTTTCTAGCTATTTGGTCATGTTGTGCTGCGCTTGCGTTTTAGTTGGTGGTTACTGGTTGTAGGATATTATTATTATTATTCCTCTGGTCAGGAAAGAAAAAAAAAAAAAAAAACACTACACAATGAGCCTTTTTCTAAGCTACATGCGATCTTATTTGATCTTTCACTAAGCTATGTTTAACATAAAGTATAAATATATTTTTAATCTTTTTAAATTTAAAATAATTTTTTTTAATTTAAAATTATTATTTTTAGTCTTTATAATTTAAAAAAAAATCTTATTTTAGTTCTTATATTTAAATTTTGTTAAAAAATTTATCAAACATTATTGTATAAAATTTACTTATTGATATCTCTGTTAGTGAAAACATCACATTAAATCTGGTTGATATTGCATAACCGTCTTAATTAGTTACTTTTAAATATATTATTGATGATCTAGGGGACTAAAAATAATAGTTTTAAATTTGAGATATCAAAAACAAATTTGTCTTAAATTTTAGAGACTAAAAATATATTTAAACCTTAAAATAATTATTGTTGACTATTCTTCACATGTTATTATGATTAAGAAGAGGAATGGAATTATTTCAAAATTAAGTTTTTGTTGAGTTATTCTACTTGATAGCTTATCAATAATACGCATAAGTAATTATTAAGAAAAATTATTGTTGATCATTCTTTACATGACCTTTTTGTTAAGTTTTTTTATATTATTATCACGAGTGAATATTACCAATAAATTTCAAATAAAATTGGTTTAAGAAAGAAAAAGAGTGAGGAAATCTAGAGTAGATCTCCCTTACTTTCATAGAAGTCTACTTAGATTGAGAAATGAAGGTGGAACAACTCTTCACTTACCACCAAAGGAATGAAGAGAGAAAAGTTCCCTTGGCTACTCTTAGCTTTCAAGGGTATGTCATGTATTGATGAACTTTCTTAAAATGTGAAAGAAAGCTCCACAATGACTTTCCAATTCAATATTTGAATGTGTTGAAGGGGGCATTGAGGAGAAGCCACATCCCTTCTAATTATGGTAGAGAGCTTATGGATAAGCTCCAAAGGCTCTAATAAAGAAATATGATTGTTGAGGAATATAAGTAGAAAATATAGCTTTATGTGATAAAGTTGGGATAAGGGGGAAGAAAGGACCACCATTGCTTTATGTGATTGTTGGACATGAGATGACCCTCATTAGGCGTGAAAGTTCCAAGGGGTTCCTTGTGATAGTTCTGCTGGATATGAGCTGACTCTCGTTTGGTATGGATGTTGTAAGGACTCTCTATTGTGTTTTCATTGGGTGGGAGCTCTATCGCGTTAGATGTGGTTCAAACAGAGGCCGATAAGGGTATTTGGAAGACTTCATCGAGCAAGTGGTGTGTGTTGTTAGGCATTGTCCAACATGAGAATTCACTATTACTCTTTTTATTAAATTCCATGTTGTAATTCTATATTAAGTTGTTGATGTAGATGTGAATTGATATCTATATATGAATATATGAATGTTAATGATGAGTAATGTGATATGAAGAGTATGTGAAACATGAAGTCATGTGGATATAATACATTGAGTCTGTTTGGCACACATCATTTGCATAAAATGTGTTTTTCTAGGGTACAATGTGTAATACACTGCCAAGGAATGTCCCTTTTTTAAAAACTAGGAACCAACTTTGGGGATAGCTCGATTTGGAAGTCTCAATCCTATCCTCGTGAGCATGGGATGTGTCTTGTATAGTTTATCAATCTTGACTGGAACTTGGTAGTATGTTCTCCTAGTGAGAGTGCATATAGGGTTTGATTCGACATGTATTCATAGACTACTCTTAGTGTATTGCTAGTTGCAATGCATAAGTGTGACATTTTTATTAGCACCACATGCATGTTAACCTGTAGTCCATGTCCATTCCATAATGCATTAAAATTTTATCTGTTATTGTTTATTATGCTATGAATGAACCAAGTATGATGTTGATATTATTGTTCATTGATTACTCTTACTAACGCTTCGTTTGTCACAGATACTACTTCATTGACTTGTAATTGTGCAAGTTTTTTAATATACACTATTCAAACCCCCTTCTAGTGTCTATTTTTTCTCCATAGGATCTCTCTTATATCTTACAACTAATAGACTTGATATAATGTTTGTCATATGCTTGTGTGAAAAATTTCAAGCTAATCTTAAAGAATATCATATGGCTTCTATTAAGAAAATTTTGAAATACTTGAGAGGAATAATAAATGTAGGATTGTGGTTTCCTAAAGGTGTATCTCTAAGTCTAGTTGGGTATTTTGATTCTGATTATACAAGGTGTAGAATGGATAGAAAGGGTACTAGTAGTACATGTCATCTTATAAGGAGTGTTTTAGTTTCATGGCATAGTAAAAAGCAAGCTTGTGTTGCTTTGATTACAACTAAAGTTGAGTACATAGCTGCTAGTAGCTATTATGCTTAACTTCTATGGATGAAATAGCTAGTAGACTATAGAGTAAAGTCAAACACAATCTCTCTTAGATGTGACAATACTAGTGCCATAAATCTCTCTAAGAATCCTATCTTACACTCTAGAACTAAGCACATAGAAATAAGACACCATTTTCTTAGAGATCATGCTCAAAAAAGAGATTATATGGTTGAGTTCATAGAAACAAATTAAATAAGTAATTAGCTTATATATTCACTAGACCTTTACCTAGTGAGAGATTCAATTATCTTAGAAATGAATTGTGGAGAAAACATAAACACTAGAAGGGGTTTGAATAGTGTGTATTAAAAACTTGCATATTTTTTTTGTAGTGAATTAGTAACACTAGTTAGATGAAGTGTGAAGAGAAATTAGATGGAACACTAGGTATTTTTATATTGGTTCATCTTAACTACCGAGACTACGTCCAATTCTTAATCTAACCAGATTGATTTCTACTATCTTTAAAGAAAGATATAAGTATTCTTTCAACAAGCCACTTTTGGCTCAATCCTAAGTATTTTTTGACTTGTCTCTTCAAGCAACTACCTAAGTATTCTTTCAACAAGTCTCTCCAAGCTTAACAAACAAGTATTATTTTTCAATCAAGCCTCTTCGGGCTCAAAAAAAGTATTCTTTTTTTGACAAGCCTCTCCAAACTAAACCTTATAACAATAGTTATGAAGGTTACACAAATGTTGTGTTCGTATCACTTAGACGTTATACAACTAGTATAGAATAATAAGCTTTTTACAAGAAAGAATAAATTTACAGAGTGTTTCTTTCTATACAAGTCTTTTTTGTATATTATGTATCTCTTTTTTCTTAAGCTTTGAGTGTTTTTATACAGTATCTTGGAGAAGATGATTGTTGTAACATTTTGAGTCTATTTTACAAGTTTGCTTTGTCTGTCTTCATTGTGTGTCCTTATAATGGTAGGTAATTGTTCAACACATTCAATGCGAACATTAAATGCATTTCACCAAATGGTACCTCTTATCATATCAAGGAGACTCTTATCAACTTTTCATACTAAACGAAGTTTGTAGAAGTAATGTCAGTGTAGTGCAACAACAATAGTGACTTTATTTGCTTTTTCTCCATGATTTAGGGAACTTTGCTCTTGGTCCTAATGAAAAGTTTGATCTTGTTCTCTTTAATAGATTTACGAGTTCTAATATAATATTCTAACTCAATTTGTTAAGGAATGAAGATTTCAATAAGCTTTTGTTGTTAGTCTTAATAAATAATAAGCATTTAATGTGGATGAGACAGATTGTATGCTTTGTTTGATTTACATCATCTTATAGATGATATGCATCTTAGACTTCGTTTAATGAGTTTTCAAAGATATTTTTGAAGATATTTTTTCTTATAAAAACATTTCGTTTGTTAAGATTAAAACTATAAACTGGAGGGATCTAATATCATCTTTTGACTTAACAATCTCCCTCTTTTTTTATGGTGACAAACATGATTTTGTATTTTTGAAATGTTCATTTTTCTTTGTCTTAGAAAATATTTCACTTTGGTAAGATGAAAAGATTTTTTTTCTTTTGGAAATGTTGTCATCATTCAAAAGGTGTTTTTCATGAATAGAGTTTTGACCTTTTTAACCTTGAAAGAAAAAAAAATCTTTTAAATATTGCCTGAGATATTTTTCTTTAAAATGTATAAATGATTTGGATATATTTTTACCATAGTGATTTAAGCACACATCTAAGATGTTGTAAGATCATTTAAGAAAATTGATTTTTACGTGTACATTTTTTTAAAGACATTTATCGTCTCACATTTACTTAGTTCTATCATCATTTGAAATCGTGTTTGAGATAGACTAAGCAATTAAATCAAGTCAACTAAAATGATATTCAATTAATACTTAAATCATGTTAGACTATGTATGCATATAGATTTTATGAGATCTAGTCTTGGTATTTCAGAGCTAAATTAGAAAACATAAGAGAAATTTTATATATGGCATAACATGCTTGTTTTTATCTCTTTCTTGTCAAGCATATTACAATAATGGAGCAGAACAAATCTTTCTACACTAGGTGTTATAGCATATGTAATCAAACCTTATATACCTATACCTTAGGTGCTATACGTAATGCATAGGGAACTCCCCCTGAAAATGTGCATGATCTAATGAATATAACTTGCATAAATTAGAGTAAATATAATGTATATTAAAACAGAAAATATTGTTCATAATTTAAAAAATTTAATCCACCAAGAATTCATAAAATCAAACATAATTAGAGCAAAATAATCAAAAATTTAAAAACTTAATCACTATCACTCTCCCTCTTTTGCCACCAGCAAAAGCTTATTCTTGGCATCCTTCTCGTCAAAGCTAAGATCAATATTAAGGCGAGACAACAACTTGTTGAATTTTTGTTCAGTGTGTGCTTGTCTCCTCAAAGTGTAGTGTATAGCTTGGTAAAGGCCAACAATCACATCTTTGCGATCTTCTTCAGTGGCAAGTGGATGGAGAGGTGGAATTGTTTATGGGGAAGAAGTAAATGATGCAAAGGGTCATGATGGGTCTGGCAACCTAAACATTCTCCTATACAAAAATATTATATTCCCAGGAAAACATACATGAAAAGTAACATTATAAGGGGAATAATATTTGTATAATTGTTGTCTAATAAAGAGAGTGTTGAACAGGGTAGGTAAGGCCCTGGAAGGGAGAGGGTAGACAGTGAAGCCTCAACCCAAGACTAGGGAAAATTGTTCAGGCTTCTCACTAGCAAGATAAAGAGGCTAAGAGGTATGATGGCATGCATAATGGTCATGTAATTTGTCAAGCTCAAGCTGAGTCATCTTCTCATTACCCTTGCATATAGAGTGAATTACAGGCCTGAAAACAAAGTCTTACATGTAAAACTTCATCGAAGGATAAATCACCCATGGTTTGTATAACTCACCATGTGCGAAAAGAAGGTTTTGAGAAAATTATGGGAAAAAAAACGTTTGTTGGAGTCATAAATGGGTGGGGTTCAGTCATCATTTGATGACATCTCCTCTTTCAAGTGTTCCAACTCCCTTGTTTCATCAAAGTTTGTGCTTCCATCATTAGACTCAGATAGATTAAAGGGAGGTACCATAGAGATGAAGTCATCTAGGTCCCTCTGGTCTTGTTCCACCATGGAACTATTAATGTTGAGAGGTTCAACATTGAGAATCACCTTCGTTGACACTGTGGCATCAAAAGTTGCATGCATAAATTCCACCAAGATTTGAAACTGTGGTACAATAGGAATGCCAAACACACCAAGCAAGTCCAAGCTTTAGGCTTTAGCGTCAACCTCACCAGCCTGAGCAAGACCTTTAGATTGAGGCTCCCCCTTAGAAACAACATGGGGTGCCTCCTAAACTAGTGCCTCAGGCTTCTCCTAAGCTTGAAGCATAGGTGCTTCCTACACCTAGCTTTCATCAATCTTGTGCTCCACTTAAGGCAAAATAGGGTCTCTACAAGAGACAGACTGGTAATAGCTTTCAATTGTTGAACCTCTATAGTAGTCAGATTAGTGTCTGGGATGGTTTTCTTCTTGGCTTCCTTAACAGACTGAAGCTTCCAATGCTTCACATCTTACTTTTCCTCTAAGATTTGTGAGGCTTGGGCTAGTCTTGAGCGACGCACTAGGTGCCGCTTATGGGTAAGTGAAGGCTGTATGGTAATTTGTTGAGGTGGCTAAGGCTGAGGTTGAGGTTTGGGTTTTGGTTAGGATGGTTGTGCAAATGATGGAGGAGGTTGAAAGATGAATTTTAGGCTAAAGATGGAGGATTTTTGGGTAAGACGATGGATGAGTGGCTTATCATCTAAGTCAGATGAAATTTCGTGGAAATGTATTTTGAGGGGTTTTGAGATAATGGCTTTGAAGACTAAAAGCTAGGGTTTTGGACCGATAAGTTTACTAAGAACTCAAAGTAGGCATTTTGGTAGGTGGCTCCTCCTCGACTGGTTTTTCCTTGATAGTCAGAGAGTTGCTCTACACAAAAGGGAAATGATAGAATATACTTATTTTCCTTAGGCTAGTTATTGTTACCTCCCTTCTTTTAGGCCCAATAGAAAGAGACAAAGTGTCAATCCCTACGTGCTGAATGACCTTTGTGAAGAGCATCCCATTGGGTATGGGGTTTTTTTGCTTTTCTCTTGCTTGGCTACAAGAGGCATGTCTGCTAGTGATTGTAGATCAATCCAAGCAAGTCAATCTTACTCCTCACAACTAGATAGTACAAGCAAAACCAATCCACATCAGATACATGATCTATTGATTCTAAACTTGGTAAAAAAGTGTTAAAGAGTAGATTGTGGAACATCTTACTGAGTGGAGTGAAATTAGCTATGCAGAGGAGTTTTTTTAGCTCATTCCTCTTTGATGGTCACAAACCATTTAAGTAGATGAGTGCATCTATTATATCTTGTGTGATGGTTGCCTCTCAATCATCCTTGTAGGCCTCACCTTCGTCCTTGCAACCTGAGACTATTGCAATGATTAAGGGATTGACTCAAATGGCCGTCTAGTCTACTCGTCCAATGATGGAGTACAAATCCTATATGGAAGTTTCCTAGAAGTTGGTGTAAGGAGCATCGTTCTAGTTGCACTTTAGCTTGAAAAATGAGGTCTAGGCAGCTTGGTTGAGGTAGGCCTTCACTAGGTAGCCTTCATCCTACATTTTTTCATGACAATGATCTTGCTGGGTAGGAAAACAAATTTTTGGTACACCTCCATGGGTCCTTTACGGCCATATAGAGCAACTTTAGGTGTCATTGGTGATTTAGGAATTTAGGAATTTAGGATTTGTGTTTATAGAGAGAAATTTAAGTGAGATTTATCTTACTCTCTTTCTGTTTGTGTTTAGGTTGAATGGCATTTGCAGGTGAATATCAATTTGAAGTTGATGCTAATGAAGAAAGATAAACTAGCGTTTATGCTAGATTTCCTTGTTTTTATAGAATGTGACATTAGGGTAATGGGTATTTACTTATATAAGATATTTATGTTATTTACCTTTTAATTATGGTTTGGTTTTAAAAATATTTGTATGGCCTTTGCAGTGTCAATACTTATTTGTTTGTTTTCATTTAGTTATTTAAAAGTTAATTCAAATTCGTTTGAGATATGAATCCTTTGCCTATGTTTAAAAAATAATTTCAAAAATTATTGATGATGTTTTTCTTTATTTAGTAAAAATGTGTAATTTATATTAAGTAATGCCATGAAGGATAAAAGTTCAGACTAATGATTCATGATTAAGCTATAGAAATATCCTTTGTTTTGATGAAAAACATTGTTGAATCTTGATATAAGTTTTTTGTTGAAGCTTTTCGTAGCAATTTTACTCATAATAGTGCCTTAGAACACCTTTTGAAGTCACTTTTTTTGAATAGAAGTGGAAACAATTTTTTATAGGCTTAACTCGAATAATCAATTATTTGATTTAAAAACAACATAATCAATTATTTCTTGATTTAAACAATTACAATTATTACATAATTAGTTATTTTGTTCAAGATGCCTTTTATCAAAAGTAATATCAACTTAATCTTTTATTCTATAGAAATAAATTTTCTTTAATTTTTAAAACTATTTGATTTCATTTGATCTTTTCAAAATATGTTATCACTAATTAATTTAAGTTTTAAGATGATTGAAGGATCACCAAGAATTATTTGGATAAAGCCTAAGCAACAACAAAATCATAAACTTACACACAAAAGCTTATGACATGCCATCATAACATTAAATAAGGCTTTAGAAATCATCAAAACCAACACATAAAGGCTAAATACATTAACATCAAGTATTGTCCTCACATGTCTCTTTGTTATCTATCATTCTTTTAATTATGAACAATTTTAAAATAATAAGTAGGAATAGATTTTTTAATTTGCATCTAAACATATTTGTACCTTAAAAGTGAATTACATGTCTTTATAATTGAGGAAAATCATGAAGTGTTCATGATTTCAAGTGCCAAGCTTTGACACTAATCAAGAAGTACTCATGACCTATACTAAATTTGAGATAAATTACTTGTCTTTGTCAAGTGTTACTTTTTATTAAATCACCAATTATACTTTCAACATGATAACTATCAGTGGAATCATTTAATGATGTTAGATGAGAACTGATATCATCATTATGTCTATTTGTTTCATTTTTATAAAAAGAAGGCCTTGCAGGCAATTCAAGACTTTCAATCTCCCCTTCAAGCATTTCCACTACTTTATTCATCGAAGGACGATTACTTGGATTTAACTGAATACACCAAAGTGCAACCATGAACATCTTTTTAGCTAGAACATTGTCCTCTTTTGAGACATCTTCCATGTCAATATTTTTCTCTTCTTTAAATTGATCATAAATCCAAAAGGGAAAGTAATGTTGGCTTGAATGTTTTGCATTAGGATTTGAGTTCCTCCTCTTACTCGCCATTTCCATCAAAAGCATTCCAAAACTATAAACATCAGCTTTATAAGATACTCCTCCAATATTTTTGTAGAACAATTCCGGAGCCATATAACCCAAAGTTCCTCTTGCTGCAGTCAAATTTACAATGCTGTCATTTACAGAATGTAACTTTGCAAGTCCAAAATCTGAAACCTTTGGAACAAAGTTGTCATCTAAAAGAATATTGTGAGGCTTGATATCAAAATGTAGAATTTGCATATCACAACCTTGATGCAAATATTCAATCCCACTTGCTATTCCGAGAGATATTTCATATATTTTCTCATAACTTAAAGAGATACTTCCTTCATTAGAAAAAATGTATTTATCTAACGATCCATTAGGCATGAATTCATAAACTATAGCACGCTTATCTCTTTCAACACAGTATCCAATGAGACGAACCACATTTACATGATGTATTCTTCCAATGGTAGCAACTTCATTGATAAAATCTTGCCCATTATCATTGGATTTGCTCAACATCTTTACGGCGACATCCAATCCACTTCGAAGTTTTCCTTTATATACAAAGCCAAAGCCTCCTTGACCTAATTTTACTTTGAAACCTCCGGTCATTTTCTTGATTTCTTTGTATTCATATCTAATGGGATTTAAATGACTGTCTAGCAAGAAATTTTCAATATTTTCATACATTGAAAAATGTCTTCGCCGCCATTTGTGGATCAATAACATAAGGAGAAGTAAAAGTCCAAACAGAAATCTGGTCACCAAGTATATCGGTATCACATTTCGTCCTATGAAAATTCCACCATCAAAATATTGCAATCCAACTGGGTTATCCAATTGTTTTGTGCTAAAAGTTATTCTGCTTCCTATTCCTGTGCAGATGTTTTCACCATGAGTAAGGAAAAGTAGCATGTCTGATGATCCGTAACATCATTCAAGCATAAAATTCAATGAATATTATCATATGATGTGAATATACTTTTTGGAAAATAGAGAGAAGGGTCTTACCGAAAATAACACCTCTAAGATAAGCTGCAAAACAAAAATATATAAAAGGTCGTGTTAATTCAAAAAATTATACAAATAATTTAAAAATAACTTCAAAGAAAGAAATTTTAAAGTATTGACTTAAGAAAAGATAAATAAAATAAACAATCCTAATTCTATGGAATGTAAGTTGTAAAATGTTTCTAGCTATATCTATCATGAAATAATCATTAATTATCACAAAAAATACACATTTTACTGACAACGTGTTTTTAGAATTGTATCCGATAAATTATAAATGTAAAAATTGATAATATTTTTAATTTTTATTCCTTTAATATTATGACGCATATATTTTTGTTGTTGCAATACGTGCTAATGAGATTTGAACTTAAGACATAATATAATTTGTCTAAATCTATATATCAACAAAATGAGCATATAGTGAAATATAATGCTTTTTTAATCCTCCATCAATATGATCTTTTTTGTTGTTGCAATACGTGCGAATGAGATTTAAACTTAAGACATAATATAGTTTGTCTAAATTCTCATATCAATAGAAACATCACAGTGGAATTATTATAATTTGTCTACATTCACCATCAATAAAGTGACCATAGTGAATTTCGTATATCCTCTTGTCGTGGTTTTATAAGAAGCAAATTAATAGTTTACTTTGGTTATTTTTATAAGAACTAATTTAGAATGTATCTTGTATTAATAATATTTTTTAAAAAAAAATACCTAAATACAAGTCTTTTTCTCTATGTTCCATAAATAGTAAGGATAATATATTAATTATTGGAATTTTTTTAGAGTCTAACTTTGCATTAAAGAATTCAGAAAACTTTTGTCTCCTCAAATTTGTAGTCAATAAAAATCAAAATAAAAAAACTATTAATGATGAGAGATTAAAATAAGACATAAATATATTTTTAGTCTTTACTAGCTATTTTTGATTTTGATCTTTGTAAAAATTGTTTATTTTTCATCCCTCTAAAATTGAAATTTTCTTGTTAGTCCATATTTTGTATGTAATCATTTTTAAGTACCTTTTGTTTATTAAAAGATCAAGTGACTATTATAGGTATTAGTCACAATTATTAGTAATATCATGTTAGTATTTAATATCTTTAAAAATTCATATAGATCCTTAATATCATAGTTATTTATCTATCCTAAAATGACCATTAGGTATACAAAATAATGACTTTAAATTTTAGAGGGATAAAAATGAGAAAAAAAAATATTTTACAAGATCAAAACCTAAATATATTTTATTTTACAAAGACCAAAAATAATGCTTATAAATCTTAAAATAATGAAAAACAGAGAAAAATTTAAAGGAACTAAAATCAAAATTCACTCATTTTATAGGGACTAAAAACACATTTAAGCTTTAAAAAAATTAAAGACTTAAATATATTTTAGGTCTCCTAAAATGTAAATTTGTTTTTAATTTTGTACATTATATATTAATTTCTTTGTTTGTTTTGATTTGAAACAATAATTCTTTTAGTTTGTTTGCTCAAATATCTTTAGTGATTATGCCAAAAACTTCATATATTAATGTTTAATTGATATTGTACAACTAACTCAATCTATCTCTATTATTATTAAGGATGACAAATATACCCGTACCCGCGAGTAATACCCGAACCCGTCCCGACTTTGACGGGGAATACCCGGTTTGACCGGGTACGGGTACGGGTACGGGTATGTACTTACCTGCCCCGTAGCTGTACCCGTACCCGTCCCCGTTTCCATTTTTAATTTAATACTCACTTTTAATTTAATTATATTAAAAAAATTTAATATTTTTTATGTGTGATTATTTATTATAATATGAGATAGAAAAATAACTTAATTATAATTATAATATAATAAAAAAATAATTTAAAAATATATTTTTTTTACAAAAAATAAAAAATAAAAAAATTGACGGGTACGGGTATACCCGATACCCGTCTGGGACGAGGATGGGGATGAAAACCACATACCCGACGAGTACGGGGATGGGGATGGGTATCATAAAACCCGTACCCGCCCCGCCCCGTTGCCATCCCTAATTATTATTGCTTCTTATGGTGGTAATGAGGTATTAAAATGAACTTGTTTTTTAAATTATTAAAATTAAAAAAATTCATTTTAAATTTGAGAAACCAAAAATAAATTTATCACAAGTTTAAGGAATTAAAAATATATTTAAATTAAAATTAAATATTTAAAAAAGAATGAATATATACATATATATGTGTATAATTTTGAAAAGAACATATGAATTAAAATAAATATAATATTATTGACTAAATTAATAATTTTTTTATCATTCTAAAGAAATAATTAATTGAGTCTTTATAGTATAGAAATATATTTGGTATCTTATTAACTTCAAAATCCTACATATAATATATATAAATTTTGAATTGCCAAAAAAGTTTAGAATAGCTGTAAAAGCAAAAAAAGGTTTAGAATAGAGGTGCTTATTCCATTGAAGAAAAATCTAATAAATACATATTAAATACCAAAGAAGTAGAAAAGGGAACAAAACAGAAATATCACAAAAAGAATAAAGACAGAAGGGATTCCATACCTCGAGTATAACCAAAAATCTTCAGCCAAGGCTCTGAAACACCCGAAACAATAGTGTTAACATGTAATGAAATTCTGAAAATGAAAGAAAAAAACTTATATAAACAAAAAAAAAAAAAAAAAAAATTAAAAAAAAAAAAAAAAAAAAAAAAAAATTAACTACCGATTTATGTAAGTAAACAAGTCAATTTCTGAGAAAAATTACATGATAAACTTTAATGATGAACATGAGTAATTATCTTGTATAGGTATTTTTCTTTTCTTTTCTTTGTTTTTGATTAATTGTTTAGGGGAGGATATAGCGGGTTGTTCGTTGTTAATCACAATAACATGGACAAATTATCTTTTCTAACAAGGAAGTGGCCGATTACAATTCATATTAAAAAGAGTTGATTCAGTATATTAAGTATAATTATGAAGTATAATTTTGGTTAGTTATTATAGGAATAAAATCATATTTTTGGTTTTAATTTCATATTTAAGTTTAAAATTAAATCTATAATCTATAATTTATAATAAATTTTTAAATAGTAAAGAATAATATTGTTGAATTTCATATATTAGTAAGTTTCAATCAAATTAAACTAATATTATACAATATCTAAATGATCTTTTATCATATTTTTAATTTTCTTGATAACATAATATTGTTATTTGATTTACTAAGTAGAGCATGCTTGCTACTTTTTAAGTGTTGTAAATGTATATTTAACTTTTGGTACATAAACAATCTAGAAATGAAATTATATTTTTATTTAACATACTAAAACAAATAAAAATTAATTTGTTTATTTTACTAATAAGAACCTCAATGCCCTAATCTCCTTCAAATAATACGATACTTATGTCTTGTGTAATAAAGAATTAAAGAAAAATCATCATTTCAGTTGTTTTCCTTTTAAAATTTTCCCTTTCTAAATAAATATAGGAATAAACTTATAACCGTGCGTAACAAAAGTTTGAAATAAATTATATTAGATTAAAATGAAGTTAGTTTTTTATTCAATTTTGAAATTACTTCAACTTAATCTTTAAAACTAAAAATAATAATTTTGGTTCTTATTTATAACAATTAGTTATTCCATTTAATTTTCGCATCTCTCTAAAAAACATTCACAACAATTATCATTATTCACTAATTACTAATATTGTTGCCCTTCACAACCACCCCACATCACCTACGACGACCAATTTAATTATTGACATTAATTGTCTTTCCATAATAGTACTCATTATAATTATTGTTGTTATCATTGTCTTTACTAAAATTATTGTTACTTTAACCACTATCATCATTAGTTGTCATTGCTACTAACACTATCATTACCACAAACGTCGCACCAATTATCATTGATATTATTATCATCATGGTTGTTGTCATCATCATCATCATTGTTGCCTTCTTTATTGTTGTAGCATTATAGTTATCATTGCCACACCTAAGTTTTCATTCCAATATTATATATTAAATAACATTTAGTAAATATTCTATTTTAATTTATATTTTTTTAATTGAATAATATTTTTTCAAGTTAATGAGTTGAAAATGAAGGTTTTAGCAAGTAATGAGCTAACATATTTTAGTGAAAATAAGAGTTTTTGCTTTTGTCTATGTGAACTCAACTCTACCTTATTGTCATTAGGTTTTTTATAACTCAGTCTTTCATTAATACTCTTTTCTTTTATTTTGTCTTTAGGGACCTTATGTTATCAAAATTACAAATAGGGGAGTTAGAAGCTTGAGATATGGATTAAGGTTATAAACCTTTATCATTACTTGAATGTTTTCCATGTAAAGATAAGGAGTGAGTTATGTCGATCATGGGTCTAAATCAAATTATGAGTAGTGAGGTTGACCATCAACCTTGTGAGTGTTCATTTTATCTTATTTGTTTCGTTACTTTTGTGGATTAGTTTAAATAACCTAAAGCACTTAGTTTTATCTATTTTTGATGTATTAATTATTATCGGTTTACTTGTTGAATTGCTTGTTCAATTGGTTGATTTTTTTTTCATGAATTTAATTGATAATAGTGATATCAAAGTCATTTTGATTAATCTCGCAAATTAACACAACTTTTCAACTTGCTTTGTTTTGACTTGTACATTTTTTTTGAGAAACTTTCCAGAAGTCAACCATTTCTAAATTGCTCCAAGTCAAGCACACTTAACTGTGAAGTTCTTAAGTGATGAACTACTGAAAAATAGATGCATCTTGTTGATACATGCAATACAAATTAATTCATTTAAGTCATTCTCAATTGTACAGCCTCACACCTCTACAAATCTTTGCATAACCACATACTTATAATCAAGTTTTGTGATGAAATTGTTATTGAGTTGTATATGATTATGACTATTACATAAATTGAATTAGATGTATGATATATTGATAGTCATTTTTCATTTGAGACGTAAATTGTGTTATCTATTAGAAATTGTAATTTTGGTACAATTTGAGTGAGGTTTGAACAATTTTGTGAAAACATCAAATTAAGGAGAGAAAAAAACATGAGTTCAAGCGAAACATGAGTTACCCATACTAAGTGTTATACTTGTAAAGAAGGAAAGTTTTGATCTTTGTCCCTCTTACACTAAGTGTCAGACCAAACTCTAGCAAAGCACTAAAGCCACAAAGAGCACCAATGTTTCTGGCACTAATCATGAGCATTCTCACACTAAGTGAAGAACCAATAAAAAGTGACCTTTTTTTAGGTAGCAATAGCACAACATATTTTGATGCTAACCAAGACTTGGTACTCGTTAAGCATATAACCCAGAAAAGGCATAATCTATTTGGACACTAAGCGAGATCGAGTTTTGTTGAGTGAGAGGGTCATCATAATGAGCAATAAGTATTTTGGCGCTATGCACGAGGTGCTTCATATAGAGCATGAGACTACCCTAGAGCAACCCTAGTTCTTTAACCTTTCTTTGCCAAGCAACATGCTTTTGTGTTAAGCATAATTCCTTGTAATGTGAGAAATATATTTACAAAATTGACCCTTTTTAATAACCATACTTGAGATAGTTAAGAATTAAATGGGATTTAAGAATTGAGAGGACCTATTATAAAGGAATAGATACACCATGAAATATGAGATTTTGACAGGATTATTTTATATGATTAAGATTCGACGTTAGAACCTTGGAACATTTGATGTGTATAATTGAGAATCGTGAGATATATGAGCATCTTTGTAAGAGTCATGCTTCATATGCATGAAAATTAAGAATTTATGATATGTAGTATGAATCCTATGCAAAGAGGTCACTAAGTGAAAGTGTGACACATTAGCAACTAATACATCAAATCAATAATCAACATGTCAAATCAATCAATTATATCAATGATCAACTAATAAAATGATAAAATATATAAAATTTTAAAAGTTAAGTGAGAAAACTCACAAAAATAAATATAAAAGATTAGTGAAAAACTATAATGAAGTTAATAACTACCTTAAATTTTTTTACTGAAGATTTTTATTAGTTCATACCATAAAAATTTAGACCGAAACAAATATAAAAATATAATGAAGAGATGGATAGTGATTATACCGCACTTATCAGTCGTATGATAGGCGTAATGACAGAAATGCTTGTCACACTGGACTTCTCCACTGGATTCATTGATAACCTCACACTTGGTCCCCTTTCCACAGCGATTCTCGCAAATAACAGGCAACCACGAAAGCTGAAATCCCTCGACTATTATCTGATGGATCTCTTCATACGAAATATTCCCATTTTGGGTCTCCGAAAGATTCCTCCAATTCGCCAAGGTAGCCACCATAAGATCACACCCAACCTCGATGTCCTGCACGCGATACTGCAAATACGATGGTTCCAAAAGAGCATAGACATGCCCTCGAGTCCCACATCGGCCCGTATCCACCTTAGCATATCGAGGATCGCCGGTTACTGGATTGGCGCAGTTGAAGTACCCAATTCTGAACGTATCTAAGTCCAAATTGAACGGCTTTGATCCAAAATCATCTGGGCCAACCAGGCCCGTGGGCCTGAAATTGCTATCGGATAAGAAATAGCGAGGGATGAAGGAGCAATTAGTGTCCTCTACTGCACCCGCATCACTAACTAGGATTGTGTATCTCTTATAATCAATATCGTGTACATGATATTTTCCCGAGAACAAGGTTAACAATGTCGCGTTGTTCGCGCATTCTAACTCGTACCTTGAGTCGCCGCAGTGATTTGGGTCACTTCTGAGGCGAAATGGAAAAGATATGTTGCCGATTTTGCCGCACGATGAAGGAGGGCATTGTGGGTGCTGCTTGGCGACGCAATTTGATTGGAATTGGAGAAGAATTGTAGCAAATATTGATAGACGAATGCGTGAACCATAAGAGACTTCATTTTCCATAATTCAGAAGAACATGAATAATCTTCTCTCACCTTGGTCTAATTATTGCTTCGCATTTTGGAATTAAAAAATGCCAAATGGTCCTTCCTTCGTAGACGCCTTTCCACCTGCCTTAACTTTCTCGTTGTTCACATTTTATTCGATCTCTTTCCCACTACCAATGTTAATTTTCTAATTACAAAATAACAAGTCATCAATCAGAAAAGGACCGATTATGGTACTTACCAAAAGGGGATAATGGTAGTGATTAAATCGAATGTTTTTTTTCTTCTAAAAAAATCAATTTTTTTTTTATAAAGTATTAAATGAAATGTTTTTGACAGTACTGATATGACGATTTCATCATTTCATGAATTTACTGTGTTTGTTTTGGTCTTTTATAGTGTTGGGCACTTGAGCCAGGTTTTGCTATTGCTGGATAGGTGTCTTTTACTAAATTCCAATACGTAGATAGAATGATAGATAGTCAAAGTAGCACAATCTTGACTACGGGGCGGCGTGGTTGTCAAAATAATTCATTGTAGAAATGAATGGACGCATACATCACAGACAACAGGATTTGGCAAGTTGTTTCATGCATTATTCAATATTGAGGAGCGTGCACGATGGAATCCACCCACTATGCCACTTGCTAACTTTAGGCTAAAACATATTCTTTTCCTTGGTTTTAGTAGAAAAAATTGTCTTATTTTTTATCTTTTGAAAAGATTTATTTCGGTTAACAGCACCCTTTCAAAACAACAGTTACCGGTGTGTGTACGCGTTGAGAGAAAGATTGTTGGAGAGAGTAATATTTTTTATTATTATTATTGTTCTACTATGAAACCTCTTTTAGAAAGATTTAAAGGTTGTTCATTATATTGAGACTAATAATAAAGGTCGTTTTGAATGTATCACTACTTAATAGGTCGAATTAAAAAATCATCTTAAAATTCACAATTTTGTTAAAAAGAAATATATTTTCTGTCAAAATCAAATCCTCAAAATCATGAAAAAAATAATATAAAGTTAGTATTATATCTGTTAAGCGCTAATATTGTTTTTACAAGTTTTGTTTGATATGAAAAGTTGATAAGTAATATTCTTGGTTAGATAAGAGGTACTATTTGGTGAAATGCATTTAATGCTCGTATTAAATATGACAAACGTTTACCTACCACTACAAGGTGTTAGTCAAATAGCCTCGTATAACTTAAGAGGGGGATGAATTAAGTTTTTCAAATTTTTCTCTTATAAAACTTTTTCGAATTACTTTCCTACAAATTCATTTGTATGTAAAGAATGAATGATGATGCAAACTACACAATTATAATTAATAACAAGAAATTAAAAGTGTAGGGAAAGAAGAATTGCAAACTCAATTTTATACTGGTTCGGCCAATCCTGCCTACGTCCAGTCCTCAAGTCTTCTACTTGAGATTTCTACTATTCTTGTAAACCTTACAAGACTTGAATCTTTCAACACCTCAGAACTCCCTTTCCTTGTGTTGAGATTCAAAAACCAACAAGGAGAAAAACCTTTTCTCCTTCACAAATCCAATGATCAATTTGGAATTACAGAATAACTCTCTTTTAAGAGTAGATATACACTTTTATGATCTTAATGAACTCTTTTAGAATAATGCAAATGAATTTGGCCAAGATATTTTTGTATATGACTTTTTCATAATAGAGTTCGTAACCTATTTATGAAAAATTATAGGTATTTATAGACAATTAATTATTAGGTTGTGTCTTTCCATGAAGAGTTGTAACTCTTTATAATTTTTCAGAAAATATGCTCTGGTAATCGATTACAAGACTTGGTAATCGATTACAACGGTTTTAAGTTCAAAAAATTGAAACGTATCTTTTAAATTCAAACTTTTAAAGTTTTATCTTCTGGTAATCGATTACAAGGTTTGGTAATCAATTACCAGAACACATTTTGTATTCAGAATTTGAACTTTGAAGTTTCTTGTTCTAGTAATGGATTACCAAAACATAATTTTGCATTGTTTCAAAAACTTTTATGTAGAAAACTTCATATCAATAATTTCTTTCACAATCTCTTTTAAGAAATGATTTGAACTATTCTTTAAAGCTTTTGTTAAGTCTTTTGAAAACATTTTTACTTACTTTCAAAAGATTTAAAACTTGCTTAAATTTAAAGAGATTAATTTGAGATTTTTGAAAACTTATTCTCAAGGCCAAGCATACTTGCAATTCTAAAAGATTCTTTTACATTCTTAGCTAAGTTGACAAGAACTATCTATGTAACATTTGAGATCTTGTTATTGCATCAACTTGCTTTAGCTCAACCTTGATTCTTCTTCAATGCTTTATAATCACTTTGGCATCATCAAAACATTTGTGCATATTTTCTTTCACACAAGGGAAGATAATGAAGACAGATGAAGCAAACTTGTGAGTTAGACTCAAAGTGTTGCAATTGTTATCTTCTACGAGCTACTATATAAGAAGATTCAAAGTACAAGAAAGAGAGAGACACTAATTGTAATTGATACATATACATATGTACAAAAACACTCTAAAATCTATTGTTTTTTTTTGTATACATTCATTGCTATATAATTGATTGTGTAAAGTTTAAGTGAGACAGACACAATATTTCAGTAAACTTGCGAGTTTTTGATATACATTATTGAACTTCCTTCTAGTGTTTATCTTTTTTTCATAATAAAGAATATGAAATGTGCATAGCAATATGCAATTTCTACAAAACTAAATTTGTCAAAATCTTATAAATTTCTACTTCCCCTTTTGACACTAACAAAAGTTAGGCCAAAACTAATTGTCTTCATCTAAGTTGATCTCTATGTTAAATCTAGTAAACAACTTATAAAACTTATGTTCATATGCTTGCCTACGAAGGGATGCACAAAGAGGTCCAACAAGGAAGCCAACGATGATAGACAAAGCATGCTTGTGATCATACTACGATACTTCAAGTACTTGTACGATTGGTTCCAATTAATTCAATCAGACATAATGGGGTAGACAAAGTCTTAGGGTGAGAATAAACAAAAATAATATCCACAAGTAATCAAATATGAAACATGAAATTAAAAGGTGTAAGATAGTGATAGACGTGGCGTGATTCATAAAGAGCATTGTTGGTAGTTGGACTGGTGGGGGAAGGAGCTAGAGTTTTCTACTTGCAACATCTCATGGAATAGATAGGATACTTCTTGTCTATGTCGAAAGCACCAAACTGATGGCAATCAACATACCTCATGTACCTCACATCCTTAGTATATTGTTCCTTTTTCTCTTTCCTTTTGTTGACAAAGTGTAGGGCAGCCTTGGGTCTAGAATCAACAATAAAGAACTTAGTCCAAGGCTAGATCATGAATATCCTTTGTTGTCCTCCAATCACTAGAGGAAGTTAATGAAGGCTACCTTCAGAACTTAACTCTAAGGTAACCTGGAGATGACATTCATCTTCAAGTTCATGGCATAATTGATCAATGAAACGAAAGATTTGAGCATAAATGTCTAGTGGCCTTAGTTCTATTACAAGGGTGGTTTTGGGATGGATGACAAAGGGTTGCTCTATAGATACAATTTTTGGAGGTACTCTTTCAAGTTGAAGTAGGGAAATCTTTTAGTAGAATCAAAGATAGGGGGTTCCTAATACTCCCTATCAATTATGCGTTCATCCTCTAGACGTTCGATCTCTACAACTACCTCAAAGTCAACACTTATACTATCAACATCATCACTATAAGGCATAATAAATGAAAATTATTTTGGTCCTTCAGTGTCCAATCGCACCAAGGTGGTTTCCATACTCAATGGGATGGCCTCAGATGCAAACACTTCAAGTGACAATTCTACATTATCATCGACCAATTCTATAGTCTCTAAAGTAGACTATAAGACTTCTTCAGTAGGGGCAGCTGGTTCAAAAGGTGTTGTGTCTTGGATTGGTGACATGGCTTCATTTGGCGCTTGTGTCTGAACATCAAACTCAGCGGTTGTAGACTAAATTGGGCACATTAACTTGAACTCCCAAGCAGAGGTGGTAAAGGTAGAAGCGATATCTACATCAGAAACATTATCCTTGTAGCTAGACCAAGGGATGAATGTTTTGAACAACAAGTTGTGGAGTAGGTTTCATAAGGGTTTTAGGTTTAATGTGTGAAGGTACTTCTTTAGCTTTATCTTATCTGTTAGGCAAGGAGAAGGATACAACATTGCATCCACTATATCTTAGGTGATCGTCTACTCCCTATCACCAAAGTAGGTGGTTCCTTTTTCTCTATAACTAGACACAACTTCAAGGCAATAGGGTTGATCCTTATCACCTTCTAGTGCACTTGACCAACCATGGCATAAGCCTCCATCCTAACTGATGCCAAAAAATAAGCATAGAGACCGTGAAACTAGTCGCACTTGAGTTTCGTGAACTTGGTCCATCTAGCCCTATCCATGTAGTGTTTCATGGGATACCCTTTGTCTTATAATTGCTGGAGTGCAATGGTCTTCCGAAGAAGAAAAAAAGTCTCAAAATATTCTTCCATGTGACTTTAAGGCTTCTGATAACTTGCATCTTAGGTACCATTTGGAGATATTAGGGTTTTTATTTTGGGAGAGGAGAGTTTAGGGTTTCAAAGAGAATGAGAACGACTCCGTAAGAGAAATAAAGATGTGAAATGGTTAAGTGTTACATACTTACTAATACTGATGCTCAAGGTACACTTAATTACTTGTGAGTAAGTGAATAGAATATGCAGGGAAGAAGAGAAAATGAGTTAGTGAGATGTTTATTCATTAAACAATAGAAATGCATTATTTCTTAGGGAGCTTAGGAATGCAAATAATTTGAAATTCTTAGAACTAAAAGCATCTCTTCTACAACATGCCTGTTGTTTCCTACACTAGTGTCTAATGCTTCTTTTAGATATTTGTTGTCTCTAATCTTCATTCTGATCTACTCTACCATGTCTATTGTCTACAAACTCTAGATCTAAAGGCCTTTTTCGTGTGAGAAGCTCCAATAAAACTACTCCTTAACTATAAACATCGATCTTCTCATCCACCTTCAAGGAATATGCATATTCTACCAAATATTAAATAATTGAAATGTCATAAATATAAATCTTGTACATCTAAAAAAATCAAATATGAATATAGATAATCTTCTTACATATAAACACCAAAGGGCATGCTAATTGAAAGATATATTCTCTATATTTACACTAAATATCCTACTTGCTCAAAATTGGTTTGGAAGCTAATCTAGATATTAATACCAAATAAAGTAAGAACTAGTAACTCACTAGGGGCAATGTAGCCATATGATCTAGCAACCATGGATATTGTTTCATTATTCTAGATCATCATCTTGGCTAAACTGAAATCTTTTATGTACATCAATTATCAATATGAGAACATGCATGTACTTATGTGTGATCATCTTTGTGCTACATTTTTTGTCCAACTGTCAAACCAAAAGGTTGCAAAAGGGATATACTAAAAAGAATAAAACGAGTAGTATGTCGTTGATTTGTTTTCAAAATAAATTGTTTTGTTGCTCCATAACTTTTCTACTCATAGGAACAACCAAGAATTTGGGAATTTATTATTTCATACTACATTACATTTTATTTTTATTTTAATACAAACAACGCTTGTGATGGTAAATAAGACTATGTCTAACGTTGTAGGATATTAGCCAATTCTTTTTTTTTTTTGAGGGGTAGCCAATTCTTTTTTAATAGCTACTATAAAATATACTTATTTATTCCTAATACAAAAATGAATCGAGATTAAAATATTATAAAATATTGTGTGTGGAGGTTAAAGTAGCTAACATAGCATAATGAATTTCCATCATATCATTTATTAATTACCTATCATTACTAATGTTGTATATTGAACTATAATGAATTTATATGTAGTAGAAACTTAGCATATATAATATACTTTGAAATAATTTATATTCCATTTTAATTATTTGTTTTTCTCTTTTATATTAGTTTCGAGGGTGTAGATTGAGAATAAATGGATGTTAACATAGTTAATACAAGAATTACTTCAAGAAAACATAAAAGAGAAGAGTTTAAGGAGTAATCATAGTTATTATTGCTTAGCTTAAAATACCAAGTTTCTTCTTCCAAACTTCATCCAGTTCTTTTAATAATCAACTTTGCATTTTGTCATGTCTAAATATTCCTATGTTATGTTTTCTTTTTGTACAATGATCATGTTACTTTTGACCAAGAATTGTACTTATATACAAGAAAGGCATCTATATTATAAATGCAATATATCTAGAGAAAATTATCATGTGTAAGCATTTACATTTGAGTTTCGAATGAGTATGAATATAAAAAAATAAAATAAAAAATAGTGCAAATTTTGGTTATAATAAAACGTGCAAGTGTTGGACTTGTTTTTTCTTTTGATTATGTATAAAGACTTAATGTGTTGGACATTTGACAATTGAGTCTTTAGTATATGTTCATTTTACTTAAGAAACATATTAAAATTTGATAATCCTATCCGGTTATTTTAAGTGCATATAGAAGTTGTTAGTACAACTATAATTATTATTTATACTTAAACATAAGTGTGGTGCTTTGGACATGTGCATGTTATGATTCATGCAAATATTCATGGAGATATTAGTCCATCAAAATACATACCATTTTGTTACCATTAGAACTTAAGAGATGTTGAACATTAAAAAATGTTTTTGGTTCAATAATTTTCCTTTTTTTATGATGACAAAGTTGGATTAATTTCATCTATGAATTCAACGAAAAATGCATCATGCATCAAAGTATAGTAAAGACATACATTAAGGTATATGTTCCTAGTGTATAAACTCCCACTAAGTTTTTAACACTTATCTTTTAGAGAAAACTTAACATTCTTCAGTATATACAGGCAAAACTATCTAAGCAAATAACTTAATAGATCATGGACAATATAAGAGTAAATCATACATATCAGAGTAAGAATATGTACATGGATTTTATATAAACATGAGTAAATGTCAATACCATCATACACATTTCTTTTTTGCTTTTTACAACATCAACAAGCATATGGGCAAGATAAAAGTATACATCATTGTCAATGAAGACTATTTCTTAGCTATTTGTTGAAAAATGCAAAAAAATTTGATCAAGCGTTTGGTCGATTTTATCACCCATCTTCTTGCTAAATTGATTAAGGCAAAAAGAAATCTAGCTCGTGCATTGCAAAAATATGCATATTAGCTTATTACAAATATTTAAAAGATAATGGTCCTAGTCAACATGAGTAATACTTTCATCAAGATAACTTGTAGATCCTACAGAATCAGTTGAAAAAGTTTGGTTTGAGTTGTCTTGGAGACTCTCTCGAATCATTTCATGAGGATATAAGGAAGGCTTTGGAGGCATTTCAATGTTCTCAAGTTCTCCTTCTAACATTTCTACTACTTTGTTCATCGAAGGACGATCACTTGGTTTCAATTGTATACACCATAATGCTACTAAAATCATTTTTTTTGCCTCATTATTATATTCCTCCTCGGTAATCTCTTTCTTTTCTTTTTCATTTTCTTCACTCAATTGATCATATATTTGGAGAGGAAAAAAGATTTCACTTGAATGATCTACATTTGGACTAAAATTTCTTCTCTTATTTGCCATTTCCATCAAAAGCATTCCAAAGCTGTAAACGTCAGCTTTGAATGATACTCCCCCAATATTATGGTAAAATAACTCAGGGGCCATGTATCCAAGTGTTCCTCTTACTGCAGTCAAAGTGACAATACTTTTATCTATAGGATAAAGTTTTGCCAAGCCAAAGTCAGAAACTTTCGGAATATAGTTATTGTCAAGCAGGATGTTATGTGGCTTGATATCAAAATGCAAAATTTGCATGTCACAACCTTCATGCAAATAAGCAATACCACGAGCAACTCCAAGAGATATCTCGTATATTTGCCTATAAGTTAAAGAGATATTATCCTGCTTGGAGAAAATATATTTATCAAGAGAGCCATTGGACATGAATTCATAAACAAGAACACGATTTGATGCCTCAACACAAAATCCAATAAGTCGCACCACATTCATATGGTGTATTCTTCCAATAGTTGCAACTTCGCTAATGAACTCTTGCCCATTGTCCTTTGATTTTTTCAACATTTTTACTGCTACAAATGATCCACTACGTAACATTCCTTTGTACACCAAGCCAAATCCACCTTGGCCTAGCTTTTCCTTAAAACCCCTAGTCATGTGCTTTATTTCTTTAAATGAGTACCTTAATGGAATAAGGGTATTTCCTTGCAAGAAGGCTTCGATATTTTCATACTTTGATTTATGTCTTCTTCCCCACTTGCAAATCAACAACACAACAAAAGCTACCATGCCACATAAAAATCGAATTATAATGAATGGTATGACGTATTTTCCTGTGCTTTTTCCTATTTCAACTTCAATTTCATCATACTCTATAGCTTTATTTAAGCCAAAAAGTTTTACCAAACCTGCATGGCAAAAAATTTGATCATAATTGTTTTGATAATAAGTTCTTTTGTTATCATCCAAAATCTTCTAATAAAATATTTCCAATTCATCACTACTAGATCCAATATTATTTAAATTATTTATTAATTAAAGTTGTAGGATATAATTATTGCAAAATAGTTGTATGTAGCTAACATTCAAATTATAATAAACTTTAATATACATTTATGTTTCATAAAAGGAAAAAAAAATAGAGGACATAAAAGCCAAGATAAAACTTTAGAAAATAATTCTAAGAAATACCCCCTTTAGAAATTCAAAAAAGAAAATAGTTAAAATATGATTTTATAATCATACCAATAATATATATATATATATATATATATACACAAATTTTTATGTATTTTTATATAGTACTCGTTGAAAAATACTAGCTCAATTTTCTTCAATGGAAATAATTAGAGCATTTAAAGAAAGAAATAATACCATAGCCAAAAAAAACACTTAATATGAAAATGAAAAATCATGAGACTAAGTTTATAAATGCCTCTATTATAAAGTAAGATATTAATTTCTTTCTTGACACAACCAAAATTATCTTTCAGTCTTACAAAACATGAATGGTATACAATGTCACATTAATCTTATTAAATAGCATAAAAATTATTTGTTTCTTTCCTAAAGAGTATTACAATAAGTTATTCACCGAGTCTACCACTCATTGATTTGTTTATTAAGGTTTCCCTTTACAAAATGGTGGGATGTGTTTTTCACCCACAAATTGAGTGGGTTTTATTTGATTATATCCCTTTCCACGACCATTAAATGATGCATCACCCCGTTTAAGATGATTATTTATGTTCTCAATCTCAAAGGTCATGAAAAATATCTCAAGACCATGATATATTCTTCTTTAACTTTTTTCCAAGCATTTGATATCACTAAGAATACTTAGAGTAATTATGGTATCTTCTTAATAACAAATGAAATCCTAACAATTCTCTTTTTAATCAACTTATTTGGGTGGCACCATTGTAATGATACTTTAGCAATGGTTATTGCAATTTTCAATTTGCATAATGTTTGATTAATTATCATAATTGTGAATTTTTTATAGCTTTTCCTCCAACAAACTTTATATTTAATGAAAACTAATTATAACATGTTTTGACTAGGATTAAAACTTGAATTCTTATCTACAAATATTATCATTAAGTTATCGCCAAGTACCACATGATTTTGTTTATCATGGCCTAACTTAAAAAGAGAAATTTCATTTGTAACATATCATTGCATGATTTATAGCTACATATAGTTTGTAACTCCAATTTTTTTTATTTTTCTTAACTAACTTAATTTGTACCATTTATAAGTGAAAATATTATTTAAGCCATAAATTAAATTAATTCATAAATTTAATAGAAGCTTAGATTGTGTAGTGAAATAGAAGATCTTTACTAAAGCTAGAAGATTTCTTTTTCCCCTAATTTCATTGATCTTTTCTACTTTTTTCGTATAGCTGGTTCAAGATGACGGATTTAAAGATTCAAGCTCCCGAAGTTAGGAATCTCAAGTCAAAACCATGTGGAGTTCACATTCTTCTTCCTCATCTTTACTTAGTTGATCGACTAGAGGTAAGGGGAGTTTGTGAATTGAATTTTGTTTGATGAATACTTGTTGTTTTGTTGCTTGGATTCATAACTGGATGATTGAATTGGTGAAAATCATGGATTGGAAATGTTATAAAGAAGTGCTCTTGAAAGGTGTTCTTGAGTGACATGGATAATCTTGAAATTTGGTGGTCGTATGTATTGTTTTGAGTTGGTTTGGTGTTGTCTATGATGTATGTATGCTATTTGGTGGATTACATGTTGGATTGGTCGGAATTTCATGCAGGTTTGAGCTAAATGAAGATTCTGCCAAACACATAATTCTTCAACACACTGAGCATGCCTTCATGGCACTAGGTGTGGCTCAAGTTAGAGGTTTTTTACCTTAATCGTATTGGGTGTGGTATTGATAGCGTCAAGCATTGGTCAATGAGGAGCTTTCTAACTTGATAAAACCGAGCGTAGTAATGAGAGATACCAAACGTGAGTTCTCAAGGAGCTCTCTAACTTAGTTATGTTGGATGCAGCTAAAGAGGCATTGAGTATGATCAAGTCAGTACCTTTTTACTTGAATGATTTCAGGCATAGATTAAGTGGCGTTAGGTATGAGTTAGGTAGAGACTCTCTACCTACGTGAGGTCGAAAGTAGGTTTTGCCACGCCAAACATGATTGACTCAAAGACAGAAAAGTTTATGCCTCAATAGCACTAGATGTGTAGAGAATGTAGTCAGGTGTGGTTTATTTGATGAAACTTGGTGGATTTTGGTCAAGTCTTGAAGATCATATGAAGTGTAGTGCTTTCTTACTTGCCATGTTACGTCATATGATTATGATTCAATATGCTATGATCTAGGATATTGTTTAGTGAGGTGTTGAGTTGTTAATTGATTTATAGTTGACTAAGTTGTTTAGACATATGGTGTTGTGATACATGTCTCGATTTTGTGTTGATAATTGATTATAGTTGTTAAGTTGCCCAGACTTGTGGTGTTGTGATACATGTATTCATTGAGATATATAAAGACTATAGTAGAGAAAAAATATTTTTTAAAAGTTTTCATATCCCATTATGTAAATACCATTTGTGGGGCTCAAAGAGGCCAAAGTTGAAAACCCATTAATGAGTGAGGTTGCTCCTGAACAAGTTGGTGTTTTAAGGTGTCTCCTTTAGGATTTATATGGAACTGTATAAGGGTCAAGTCGAGTCATACGTGTATAAGGTGACCAAATTGAGTAAGGTATGAATTTCAAGGTTTAAATCCTTAACTAATTAATTCAAGGGTGCATGGTACTTGGAGGGTAGTTAGTGGTTTAATCCTATAGGAGGCTTAGCTTATGCATGATACATTGTGGTAGGCTAACACATAAGCTTTTCTACCTTAATAGTAATACTAGACTTTCTTAGTTTAGGTGGAAAAAACCTAAGAAATCAATCTGACCTCTATGTCAACTGTTGTTTCTAGTTTGATAACTAGTCGTTGTTTCTAGTTTTATACTAGTCAATGTGATTCGATAGGGACAAACCACTTAGACTATTCATCGTTGTTATAGGAGATCTCCGTTAGTTATTATGTGTAATGATGCATCCGTTGTTCAATTGATTAGAAATTATCATTAGTTGTTTAATAATTTCTTTGTTATTAGTCATTGCTCCGTTGTGTGACTTGTATATGAAATTGTGAAATTTGAATTAGAATTTGTGAAAGTATTAAGATATATTTGAAAGGTATTTATAATCTATACTTAGTTGTTTATATAATGATCAATTGTTAGTTGATTTTATTTAGTTGTTTTCGTTAAATCATTGATGAATGATATCAGTTGAAGCTTTTACTTGAGCTAACTTTTGTTTGTCCGTATAATTGGAACTGTCATGATCATACTTGGTATGAGAGTAAGGTAGTGTAGACACCCAATTTCGTCTGGGGGCATACAAACAAGAGAATGGACCTCTGTTATGAAGGGAAGGAGCTCCCAAAGCATGCAAACATCAAGATAGGACATCAGAAGACCCAAAAGCCCAAATTAATTGTTTTTAGTGGCCTAGAACAGGCTGTTCCAAAATCAGAACGGGCCGTTCCCAAGTCCAGAACGGGCCGTTCTCGAATTGGAACGGGCCGTTCCAAGGCTCCTAAAAGGCCTATAATTTGTAGGCTGGAACGGGCCGTTCCAGAATTGGAACGGGCCGTTCCAATCTCCTAAAAAAGGGTTTTTAACCTTAACTAGAACGGGCCGTTCCAAGTTATGAAAAATGCCTAAAAACTCTTTTTTGGAACGGCCGTTCCAGCATAGCCAAGTGTGTGTTAATTGTGTCTCTGGAACAGGTCGTTCTAATTTCAGAACGGGCCGTTCCAGTTACCAATTTAACCCACAACGGCCATATCCAGAACGGGCCGTTCCGATTTTGGAACGGGCCTTTCTGGACCCTTTTTAAAGTCTATAAATAGACAGTTGGGGCTCATTTCTCAGGGGTCCAAAAATTTCGTTCAGACTCCCTAGAGAGCTCGAAATTTCTCTCTTTCTCTTTCCTCTTTCTCTTTCCCTCTCTCTTTTGTATTTCTTGAGATTTTGAGAGACATTGTAGTGTGAAGGGTTGCCAAAAAGCACCTAAAATCTTCCTGTTTTGAAGATATAATAGAGCTCATTCAAGAGGTATTTCAGTTAATTTCTTTCTCTATTTTTTTATTTCTTACTTATAATAATTATTGATATAATAAAAACAATCATGTAGACATTTTAGGGTCAACCAAGCATGTAAATAATTATTAATAAAAGGGGATTTAATATTTCTATTATTATCATTTATAAATGCTAACTTCATCATAGGGTACCAATTAAGGACGTTGTAGGGGTGCTTAATACCTTCCCTACACGTAACCGACCCCTGAACCCAATTTTTAATATTTCTATTATTATCATTTTTAATGCTAACTTCATCATAGGGTACCAATTAAGGGCGTTGTAGGGGTGCTTAATACCTTCCCTACACGTAACCGACCCCCGAACCCAATTCTGGTTATCAAGGCCATTATTGGATTCTTTTACTTTAAAAAATCTTTTCTTTTTTCAATGTTTTGAGTAAAATATTGGTGGCGACTCCATGAACCTATTTTCAAAACCATTAATTAAGGATTAGTCTGGTGTCTGGACATTCCTTAATTAATGAGACTTTTAAAAGGATGTCTAAACCATTAGTCGTGAGATCGGAAATTTTTGGGTTGCGACAGGTAGGATTAATAGGATAGCTTGGTTGGCTGTTGAAGGGTCATGCTGATGATAACCCAGTTTTGGTGATGTTATTATTATGTAGCATTATTGTTGTATAGACTCTTGATCGGCTATTAGGGTTATTTTGTATACAGTGGTTTAGTTTATGTAGAGTGTATATATGTACAAGGTATATATGTAA